CCGGCTGGCTCAGTGGTCCAGTAGGATAAGCGTTCGCACGCGAGACGTAAGGCCCTGGGTTCGAATCCCGCGAGCGGATTCGTGGATGCGCACAAATGAGAAGTCTAACAATAGAACGAAACGACCGTCGGGTGCTTCCAGGTTTCTCATGATGGTCTAACATCAGTCGGTTTATGATCTCGACCATTGAAAGATTTTTTTGTCTCAAAATATTTGAATTCTCCATGGGATATTTAGAAGTAATGAAGGGTTGTTTCGTTCTGGTATGGGACTCCTCAGCAGTAAGCATCCACAATCTCGCATACGGGATTCAAATTCAGGAGCTCCAGCCTTCCACACAAACACTTAAACTCTGGACTACTGAGCCGTTACCAGTAGAGTCCAATCCGTGTTGAGTAGAGACAAGTACCTACCTCAGACAATGGATGAATGGTTGAACAAGATCATAGATCTATTGAAATTAGACATTAACACCATTGAATACTAGCTCAGTGATCTAGAGGCTAGGCGTTCACGCATGAGAACGTGGGTACTGGGTTCGAGTTCGTTTGATGTAAGATTAAGGATGCGAACTGTTGAGAAGGAAATGGCTGTCAAGTAATCCAAGGTTTTCATTAGTTGTCTAGCTTATATCGATTCATGAATTCAACTATTAAAAATGAAATAATACTCAATGAGTAGTTACGTAACATAGTGATTATATAATGACACATTGATTATAAATTAACACTGAATAATTAAGAGAGGATTATAATAGTCATTGTAATCATTCGAAAATAGGTTATCAATGTTCTGTTACCAACTCACTCCTATACTTGTATCCAAGGTAGCAAGAGTGGTTGTATAAACTTCTACTGAATGTAAAGGTTTGGTTTTATGAACATGGATTCCAATGGCTTCAGTAATATGTAAAAGACGAACTTGTAAATCATGCGATAAATTTGATAGAATATGATGGATAACCTAAAAAGCTTTACTGAAATCAAATTGATGACCTGTGTTCATTATCAAATAAGCAAGAATAGAACTATTAATCATTCTTACCTATCCTTTGCTCAATCAGATCCGATGCTATTCTTCTATGTGATGATGAACTTGTCAAATTGTATGCTCTATACAACTGGTCCCGTAGGAGTAATAGAATTGGTAAATACATACGGATGTAGCGTTATGTTTTTTATTAGCGATTCTTATTATGGGGCAGTTGTATGAATGAATATTATTGGATGCTGGCTCAGTAATCTAGTTGGTTGAGCGCCTGGCACTAGACTGACAGGTCTCGGGTTCGGATCCCACCCGACGGGATCCTCAGCGCACTGCTGAGGAGTCCCGCAATGAGACGAAACGGTCATCCAGCGCTTCCAGGTTTTCCATGCTGGTCTAGCTTGAACTGACTCATGATCAAAATTATTCAAATTATTAAATGTATTAAGTAAATTATCTTTGTAATGATCTTTTCCTAATACTATGAAAGTATCATCTACATAGTGACAGTAAGATGTCAGATAACTGATTGTGTCCATAAGTGGCCCATTTTCTAGTTTTGCAAGAATAATGTCTGCTAGCAGAGGGCTCAATGGTAATCACATAGCTACACCATTCAATTGTCCATAGTATTCATTATCAAATCGAAAATGGACATTCATCATACATCAAAGAATTTTATTGCAGAAAACTGAAATTGCCGTAATCCAATGGTGTTAATGTTTAACTTCAACTAATCCAAGAAATTGAGCGATACATCCACCATTGACTTAATTAAGTTACTATCTCACGACAGACCCGATTGAATTCCACCGGTCAGTGCTTCTCACTAGAACTATTGGAAATACCTGTTGAAGTCAATTACTAGTGAGCATATGATGATTATTATCAGAAGGGGTTTTGTGGAGATTTCGAGTAATTTCAATAGTTGAAATCATGAGTCAATTGAAGCTAGACCACCATAGAAAACCATGAAACCACTGGACGGCCGTTTCGTCTTAGTATAGGACTCCTCAGCAATGCTCATTCCCGATCCTCCCCCCCCCGTGATTGCCAATATAGAAACCTTGGAAGCACTGGATGATATTCATGAATTCAATTAATTCAACTTATACTACAATCTTGACAACCCCCCACATTGATTTTCTGTTTTTAAAAAGAAATTAAACAATCTAACTCAGTAGGGGTTAGTTAGTTCATTGTTGTTGTTGTTGTTGTGTGTTTTTTCATAAATGACCATTATTTTTCCATCAAACCTACTGCGAAGAGTTTTACTTCTCTAAAATGTATAACAAGAAATAACACAATGATGATATACATTATTCTGGACATGTATGTATGTATGGGTGTGGGTATGGGGGTGTGGGTGTGTGTATGATGGTGTGGGTGTGGGTGTGGGTGCTATTTTTAATCTTATCTACATTTGTAATCCTGGTAATAAGTTTTACATCATTCATAGACTGTCTAACTAATATGATGATGGGGGGGAGATCAAAAAACGGATATTGATGATTATCACTAATAGAAAGTGATGTTTTATCTATCTCGAATTATAAACAGATTTTCATTTAATATCAAATGGGTTTTGTAGATATTGTAGTAATTTTAATGGTTAAGATCATGAATCAGTTGAAGCTAGACCACCATGGATAATCTGGAAGCATTGGATAGCCGTTTTGTTCGATTGTAGGACTCCTCAGTAGTGTGCATCCACAACCTCGCCCCTTGAGAGATTCGAACCCTTATGATCTCAACCATTGAAATTACTATAATATCCACAAAATCCATCTGATATTAATCAATATATGCTCACTAGGGACTGACTTCAAGAGGTATTTCCTGGAGTTCTAGTGCGAAGTAGTGACCAGGGTTGTTCAACCAGGTCTGTTGTGAGATAGTAACTCACTGATGACAGTGGTGGATGTGTCACTCAATTTCGTGGATTAGTTGAAGTTAGACATTAACACAGTTGAGTGCCGGCTAAGCGGTCTAGTGGTTAAATGCTCGCTCGCGAGACCTGTACGTCGTGGGTTCGAGTCCCGCAGGCGGCGTGGTCGTGGATGTGTACTGCTGAGGAGTCCCATAATAGGACGAAACGGTCGTTCAGTGCTTCCAGGTTTTCCATGGTGGTCTAGCTTCAACTGACTCATGATCTTAACCATTGACATTTTCATTTATTTTATATTAGTTGTTTGAATCATCCTATTCATGTTTAGGACTGAAATTCATCAGTCTCTTATTGGTATATATGCATCCTATACGAATGGTCTCGATATTTGCCATTAATTCACAAGAATTGTAAACAGATTTGGATGATAGCTAATAGTGGAATCTAGCACACGTGTTTCGTCCTATTTGGGACTCGTCAGTCAGATTTATCACGTGCTTATGACTTAAGGTAATATCAAAGTAATCCGTACAAGATGCATATATACTAATAAGTGATTGATCCATTGCAGTTTTAAATATCAATAAGAAGATTCAATTAAATAATACCAAATGAATTTATATAACTATTCACTTGGTGTTGTTTTGCTTGTATCTTTCCATTATTATTTAGGACTGGAATTGATCAGTCTCTTATTGGCATATGTGCATCCTATGCGGATGGTTCTATATAGCCATGTCATAGGCTTTTTAAACAAAGATGAATAGTGGCTAGCAGTGGAATCCATGTTAACGCGCGACTTTGAGTAGGTGGATGATATTGTCTTAGTGTGAGATAATACCAAAGCCATGCAATCCGCCCCTAACCAGTTGGCAATTAGTGTCCGTAGGTATGGTATGTGCTTCGCACCTTCGAAGTGCAAAGTACTTCTACAAGACTGGCAGGAGTCTAATCCTGTACTCACTCTTGATGGTGAGCAGATAGAAGTAGTCGAGAAGTTCGTGTATCTGGATAGCTGCATAAGTGCTGGTGGTGGCGTGAGTGATGAGATCAATGCACATATAGTGAAAGCTAGAGTGGCTTATGCCAATCTGGGCCATCTTTGGTGCCTTCGTGATGTTAGTCTGGCTGTAAAAGGTCTGATCTACAGTACGTTGGTGAGAGCATTTATGCTTTATGCTTGTGAAACCTAGCATCTCTGAGTTGAAGATTTTAGACGACTCTCTATGTTTGACCATCGTTGTCTCTGAAGGATCGCTGACATTCAGTAGCAACACCATGTTAGTGATGCAGACGTTCAGCATCATGTGTTCGGACACAGAGAAGATCATTCAATTAATGTCACTATCTTGTAACATCGACTTCGATTGCTTGAACATGTTCTACGAATGTCATCCCAGAGAATTCCACGTCGTTCATTATTTGCCAACACTGGGACTGGTTGGGAAAAACGGAGTGGTGATCAGTGTATAACATCGTGTTTTGGTATGAAAGAAAGCTGTACAGGACTGACTTCTTTTGGTCCTTTATGACTCCCTGATTGGGATCCTAGAGATAGTGTAACACAGTGGCTAGAGACTTTTTTTTATCGGATATGACTCAGAATAGAAGTCAATGGCGATCCTGCTGTAACTTTATTTTACATTCTTCATAAAAAAGATGTAACCTCCTTAAGTGAATGAATTCTCTGTAGTTATACTGTTTCCAATTGAATTGTCTCCCTCATTATTATTATTATTTCACTATCATACACTGATTTCTGTTCGTTATTATTCCCCTTTTTCTTATACCCACCTTACATTCTTTATATCAATACATTCTCATTATAATTGTGTGGCGCATATATATCTGGTGTACCAATATTTACATGTTCAAACAAAAAAATTAGGTCGATCTCTCCAAGTGTGGTCTCCTAAGAAGATCACCTGCTTCGATTTGGGCACCCGAGTAATCTCACAGCCCACACACAAATCATATGACTTGTGTGGTGCATATATATATCTAGTGCCCCTCCCCCCCCCTTATACCAACATTCATATGTTCAAATAATCAATAATAATAATACTAATAATCTAACATTAATTCATTCCTTTTTCTCTACTTATTTTACTCTTTTTACTTATTTCAGCTGTAACATGTGTACCATGTGAACAAGCAATTACTATAGAAAATATTGCCAGTAGTTATTGTATGGCTGATGTAGGTGAGTATTTATTGATTTTTATTTTCTTACGTAATCATCTTTGAAGATTCAATAGATGGATATGATTCTAGAAGGAGAGAGGGAGGGAAGGAGGGAGGGGAGTGGAAATGCTAGAAACTAGATTACGTTGTATAATTGTGTTAGTTTATTTTAACGCTTACATTTACTTACGTTTGTTACTCCTTGTGGAGGAGCATAGGCTGCTTACCAGCACTCTTCATCCAATCTTATCGTGGGCAATTCTGGATGAATGTTAGACTACCATTGAAAACCTGGGATTGTTGGTTGAACATTTCGTCATAGTATGTGATTCCTCAACAATATACATGTACAAACTCACATCGAAGGGACTTGAGCCCAGGATCTTCGGTCTTATGCTCAAACAATGAACCTCTAGACCATTGAACTTGCTAGTATTTAACCATGTTAGTGTCTAACTTCAATCGATTCATGATCTTGTTTAATCATTTGTCTATTGTCTAAGGTAAATACCTAAGTTATAATTGACAGATGTTGTAAGATAAACATTTATTTTATTCGATATAATCTTGATTAATTGATATTCCTAAAGTTTTTGTTCTAAATTACTCAGTAACTATGGTAATTGAATGCGTAGAAACGATATACAACAAGCACTGAATGGATTTCACGTTCCAGTTAGATGTTGGTTCAATGGTCTAAAGGTTAAGCGTTTTACACGCGAGACCGAAGGTCATTGGTACGAGTCCATTTGCTGTAGGATCGTGGATATGCACTTCTGAGGAGTCCTATACTAGAACGAAACAACCGTTCTGTGCTTATAGGTTTTTATTGATCAATAAACACAATTAATTTAGTTATAATGGTCATAAAATAAAGGACAAGATTCAAAATACCAACTATGAGGAGAACATGATACTAGCATTGTGATTCAATAGCTTGTTAGATTAAACTTTAGGCTTTAAACTAGTTAGGTATAGGGCACATACTTATTTTCTCTAACTAGAACACAATAAGGTTGGAGAATGTTGATCGGCGGCCTAAGCTCCATTGGGAGTAACAGGCGTAATTAAGTAAGTAAGTGAGGAAGTAATGAATGAATGAGTGAATGAATGAATGAAGGAAGGAAGGAAGGGAGGAAGGAAGGAAGGAAGGAAGGAAGGAAGGAAGGAAGGAAGGAAGGAAGGAAGGAAGGAAGGAAGGAAGGAAGGAAGGAAGGAAGGAAGGAAGGAAGGAAGGATGGATGGATGGATGGATGGATGGATGGATGGATGGATGGATGGATGGATGGATGGATGGATGGATGGATGGATGGATGGATGGATGGATGGATGGATGGATGGATGGATGGATGGATGGATGGATGGATGGATGGATGGATGGATGGATGGATGGATGGATGGATGGATGGATGGATGGATGGATGGATGGATGGATGGATGGATGGATGGAAGGAAGGAAGGAAGTATGTAAGTAATAACACAATAGTTACATCACATAGAAGACTATCATAATGTATGTAATAGTGAAATAGATCTTATATGCAATCTATGCATAAAGATGACTAAATTAACTTGGTTTAATAAATCAATCAGGAAAGCTTTACCAACTTTATTCATTATAGAAACTAATTGCATACAATTAAATGTCAAACAAATTAAAGGTGCATTGCTAATTAGTATAACCTTTAACTATGGTCTCTGTTGAACTTTCTTTTATCATTATTTAAATGCATAAACATTGGTACAAGGGGGTACATAAATCATTCGATTTGTTTGAGGGCTGGGATACTAACCGGAAACCCAAAGAGAAACAGATGGTTTGCTTAGGGGGCCATACTTCGGAGCCTTCGACTTAAAGGTCTAATCCACAAGGAAGTGGAGCAACATCACAAGATACAATCTCATGGTAACTGGCGACCAATAATTGGTTCATATGCCGTTTGTTTACTTAGGCACCTGAAACCCATTTGTGTTATTGATTTGAAATCAGGATTTCCCAACTCCCTTAGGTAAACCCTGTGCATCTATTCACCCAGTTACAGAGCCAGACATTCGGTTTTTGTCTTCTCAATTTCGTGAATAACACTGTTGTCACGAGAAGGCAATGTGTAGGACATTCCTGTCAGTGGCTGTATACACCATCATTGAAATGACTACTTCTATAAATTTGGTGTTCATCTGGTTGTTCTAATGATGTATGGCGAATTGAAACGATAGGCCTGGTCCTACCTTATAAACATTTAATTCTTAATAGTATCAATTCATAAACTATGCAAACCTTCATCCAATATCTTTACCAAATCACTTAACTTATCCCTATACGGAGCTCAATGGTCCAGTAGGTTAATTATTCACGCGCAAAACTTTAGAGCCTGAGTTCGAATCCTGCAGGCAGGATCATGGATGCGCACTACTGAATAGTTCCACAATAGGATCAAACGGCCGTCTTGTACTCACGGATTTTCAACGATGATCTAACATCAATCGATTCATAATCTCAATCAAAAACTTAACAATAATCTTCATAACCCCTATACTAAAAAAATATATATATTATGTCGAAACTATCATTTTTACAGTGGACAGCTAGGATGAAGTTGGATGATCTAGACTTCGCAGATGATCTGGCTTTTCTATCGCATACGCAACAACAAATGCAGGAGAATACAACCAGTGTAGCAACAGCAGCCTGAGCAGCAGTAGATCTCAATATACACAAAAGAAAAAGCAAAATTCTTCGATACAACACAGCATGCAACAATCCAATCATAATTAACGGAGATTATTTGGAAGATGTACAAACCTTTACATATTTGGGCAGTATCATTGATGAACACGGTGGATCTGATGCAGATGTGAAGGCACGGATTGGCAAAGCAAGATCAGCATATTTACAACTGAAGAACATCTGCAACTCAAAACAATTGGCAACCAAAACTAAAGTCACAATTTTCAATACAAATGTCAAGACAGTTCTACTGTATGCGAAGGAAACATGGAGAACTATGAAAGCAATCATCCAGAAGATACAAATGTTTGTTAAACGTCGTCTACACAAAATACTTCGAATCCGTTGGCCGGACACTATTAGCAACAACCTACTGTGGGAGAGAACAAATTAGAATAAACCATTGGAGGAAGAATTCAGGAAGACTCGCTGGAAGTGGATAGGACACACATTGAGGAAAACACCGAACTGCGTCACAAGTAAAGCCCTCACGTGGATTCCTCAAGGTCGAAGGAGGAGAGAAAGACCAAAGAACAACACATTACGCCGAGAAATGGAGATAGATATGAGAAAAATGAACAAGAATTGGATGGAGCAAGAAAAGAAGGCCCAGGACAGAGTGAGTGGGTTGGAGAATGCTGGTCGGCAGCCTATGCTCCATTAGGAGTAACAGGTGTAAATAAGTAAGTAAGTAAGTAAGTAAACTATCATTTTATGAAACTATTATCATTATATTAATCAAACAATCGATTTATTGATTTATTGACTTGATTGATTTTATTGATTTTATTTATTTATTTTTTTTCAAGTTCTTAAAGCTTCTATAAAAGATATTATCTTACAACCAAATCAAGCTTCAATTCTATTAAATTTAACACCTAAAACATTAGCATTAAAATTAATACGTAATGATGGTACACAATTAAGTAGTATTGATCAATATCGTCGTAAACGAAATAGTCGAAGAAGAAGAAGAAGAAGACGACGAAGAACAAGAACAAAAACACAAAGAGATAATCATAATTTTGAACCGAATTCAATTTATCGATTAAGAACAAGAAGAAATATAAAATTAATAAAACAAAATCAATATCAATTAAAATCAATAAATATTGATCATGAATTCAATAATCAACGAATAAAACGATATCGATATCCAAGAAATTCACAATTATATAATTTAGATGGTATAAATGAATTAATATTAAGTTGTTCATCATGTAATTTATTATTACCATATATCAATAAACATTTACCTTCATCAACATCATCATCATCATCATCATCATCCAGATCATCATTATTATTATCTCATCAAAAATGGCTTATCATGGGTAGACGGATACAAGATATCAATACAAAAAAATATACAAATCAATTACAAGTAAGTCAATGAATGATTTATTGATTTATTTATTTTATTTTAACACATAAGTATAGGTAAAGGGAGGCACCAAATACATATGCGCTACACAAATCTTAATTGATTTGTGTAAGGGCTGTGATACTTACTGCACGGGTGCCCAAACCGAAGCAGGTGGTTTTCTTAGGGGGGCCACACCCCGAGCCTTCGACCTGAACGTCTGATCCACAAGGCAGTGGAGCATCGTAAGGAGATGCAGTCCCATGGTAGCCGGTGACCAACGATTGGTTCATACGCCATTTGTTCCTTCAGGATACTGGAGCTAGCCCATATGCACCATTGGTTTGGGATCCGGTTAAAGCTCCGGACATTCGCTTTTCGTCCTCTCATTTTTGTAAACAACCCCCCCCCACGAGAAGGCAGTGAGTAGGACTTCCCTGGCAGAGGCTATATACGCATGGCCATGTGAGAGCATTTCGAGAGGGAGAGCGGACTCTCCCCACTCTCGGCCGTACCAGGGCATTTGGGGGCCAAATCAATTACAAGTAAGTCAATGAATGAATGAAAGTTTTATTATATTTCATGAATTGAAATCATGAATGAATTGAAGTGAAAGAATTAGTCTCGTACATGAGATTGATCGATTGTGGGTTCGAATCTTGCAAGGGAATGGGTGGTGGCGAGATCGTGGATATGCACTACTAACGAGTCCTATATTAAAATGAAATGTCTATCCAGTGCTTTTAGGTTTTATATAGTAGTCTAGATTTATGATTTTAACCAGTGAAATTATTAAAAATCTCCATAAAACCCCTTCTGATTCTTTGTTATATTCGTTTATAATGCTTATAAGCTGATATTTTATTTTATTTTGTTTAAACACATAGATATTGGTACAAGGAGTGAACTAAATACATATGCGCTACACAAATCTTATTTGGTTTGTGTAAGGGCTGTGATACTGCCAGGAGTGCCTAAACCAATGCAGGTGGTTTTCATAGGGGGGTCAAACGCCGAGCCTTTGACCTGAAGATCTGATCCACAAAGCAGTGGAGCATCGTAAGGAGATGCAGTCCCATAGTTGCCGGTAACCAACGAATGGTTCATACATCATTTGTTCTTTCAGGATACTGGAGCCAGCCCATGTGCACCATTGGTTTGGCATCAGGGTTTTTCAACTCCCCTAGGTGGACTTTCCATGTCCACCAACCCGGTTAAGGCGCCGGACATTCGCTTTTCGTTCTCTCATATTCGTAAACAACACTCATGGTATGAGAAGACAGTGAGTAGGATTTCCCTGGCAGAGGTTGTATACGCGTGGCCATATAAGAGCATTTCGAGAGGGAGAGCGGACTCTCCCTACTCTCGGCCATATCACGAAGTTGTACCACCGTACACCATCTCGCAACTGACCCGGTCGAACTCCACTGGTTACGGCTTCTTAGTAGATCTCCAGAAAAAGCCTTTTGAAGTCAATCACTAATGAGCAAGGGTCAGGATCTTGGATGTGCACTGCTGAACAGTCTCATACTAGGACGAAATAGCCGTCCAGTGCTTCCAGGTTTTTTATGATGGTCTACCTGCAATTAATTCATGATTTCAACTATTGGAATAATACTTTATCAATAACAATAACTGAAATGTTTCACTACCTCATTAGTTTAACACAACTAACACAAAACAGACATTCAATCTTTCTAAACAAACAAACAAACAAACAAACATACATACATACATACATGTGCACACACACACACACAGGAATAGACTGTTGTGAAATAAAATTGTCACTTTTAATAATTTCTAGTTTCCAACTGTGATTTAACCGTGATTCAGTTTAGTTATTATTCACCACAGGGATTCATTTAATATTAAAATGGTAGTATATTCTATTCTATTCATGAATGAATGAAGGAATGAATGAAGGAATGATTATGTAATAGATTAGAAATGGGAATATTTTATAGAGATTATAATAACTTGAATAGTTGATTTTATGATTCAATTGAAGTTAGACCACCATCGAACACTTAGAAGCACTGAATGGTCGTTTCGTCCCCTCAGCAATACACATTCACAATCCCACTTGACAAGATTCGAACCCAGGATCTGTTGGTTAAAATTAGTTAGTTGAAATCATGAATCAATTGAAGCTAGACCACCATGGAAAACCTGGAAGCACTGGACGGCCGTTTCGTCCTAGTATGGGACTCCTCTGCAGTGCGCATCCACGATCCCGCACCCCGCGGGATTCGAACCCAGGACCTAACAGTCTCGCGCCAGGCGCTTAGGCAACTAGACCACTGAGCCGGCATCCAACGGTGTTAATGCCTAACTTCAACTAATCCACGAAGTTGCGCCACCGTCACCATTGTCTTCAGTGAGCTTCCAGGTTTTCCATGGTGGTCTAGCTTCAATTGATTCATGATTTCAACTATTGAAATTACCAATTCTCCACAAAACCCATTCTAGTAAAATCAATTAGTTATCTTTATAAGACCTATTAAAATGAATATTTTTGCATGGAATAATTCGATTTGCACACTCCATCTCAAGAAGATTAACCAGGTTGAACAATACAGTGGTCTTGAGTGCTGTTAGATATATGAGGGCACTTATCACTTTCCGGTTGCCCACATCATGGAAGGGTTCTTCTGCAGGTACTTGAAAGGGAAATTGGATTAGACGTCGTCTTAGTAACGTAAGAGCATGACCGCAGTGCCCAAGGGACAGCTGCTTGAGGTCGGTCACACACGACCTTTTTATGAGTAGTTTTTGTGTTAGCTCCGTACTTGTTGAGACCTTATCTCTGGAGACAGAAATAAGTGAGGTAAGGCGAGGTGTGCAGTTTCAGGATCGACCTTATCTAACCCAACCCCTCCTTGTGGGAAGGCGGCATCGCTGTCATGCTGGTTGTCTGAAATAAACGCTTTGCTGCTGTCACACCGCTGTACGGTCGGCAGTACGACTTCGCCTTCGGACCTTGAGTTTGTTGCCTATAGTCTTACCGTTCTTCAACCGACCTGTCTGACACGATGGGACCTTGAGGAACGGTTGTTCCAGCCAGTATAGCCCGATTGCTTCATCATGATGGGTAAGCCCGACCACCACGTCAAGCTATGATATGGCTTACTTAAATCATCCCTTTTGATGTTTAGAACTGCAATTGATATATGTGCATACTGTGCATACATAGCTAAGTAGATCACGTGATGAAATTTAAAGTGAATGATACTGGGTTCGAGTCCCGCAGTGAACATCAACTCTGAGATACAGGTACATCCATCTGACGAGTCCCAAATAGAACGAAACTTGTGTTGTGGATTCCACTGCTAGTCACCATCCATCTTAGATTACAAACTAGGAATAGTTTCCATCAGGAAATGAAATCATGGCGAGACTACAGTTTACGGGCGAACCAATCAGAGTTACGATAACAGGTCTTGAATTTTGGCGCGAAGTTGATTCATTTGACTATATGGACTTTTGTTGTTATAGCTAATGTCAGTTCGTTATGAAAAGTCTATATCTGATTCTTAACCACAACCCTCATTTAGCCGTAGTGCATAGGTGGACATTCTCAACGTCTCTTTAGCGTCACTCAAAGGTCCTCCATAAATTATAGTCTCACCGAAATCATTTCTACTATTATCTTTAAACTCTATATAAGTCCCTAATCATAAATCATACAACAATTAAACTCAAGTGTCTTAAATAATAATAATAATAATAATATCAGAAGGGGTTTTTGTGAATACTAAAGTAATTTCAATGGTTGAATTTAGACATTAAGATCATTGGATGACGGCTCAGTGGTTTAGAGGTTAAGTGTTCGCGCACATGACTGATAGGTCCTAGTTTCGTATCTCACAAGGTGGGATTGTGGATGTGCATTGCTGAAGAGTTCAACAATAAGACGAAACGGCTGTCCAGTACTTCCAGGTTTTCCATGATGGTTTAGCTTTAATTGACTCATAATCTCAACCATTGAAATTTAACGTATATTCATTTATTATCAGAAAGGTGTTTCTGATATAGAAGTACTGGATATTCATTTCGTCCTAGTATGAGACTCCTCAGCAATGTGTATCCACGATCCTACCCCGTGAGATTCGTACCCAGAACGTATCGGTCTCCCATGTGCGAACATTTAACTATTCAATCAATCTTCATTTCATAATATAAATAAATGTTAATTTCAGTAGGGGTTTTTGTGAATGTTATAGTAATTTCAATAGTAGAGGTTATGAGTCGATTTAAGCTAGATCGATATAGAAAACTTGGAAACATTAGACAGCTGTTTCGTCCCAATTGTAGGATTCTTCATCAAAGATAATCCGTTTCGGATAGAGACAGATATCTAACTCAGTAAAATGGAAGATGATTACACAATTTCGTGGATTGGATGCCGGCTCAATGATCCAGTAGGTTGAGCGTTCGCGTGCAAAACTGAATTCCACGAGTTCGGATCATAGATGCATATTGCTGAGTAGTCTCACAATAAGACGAAACAGTCGTCCAATGTTTCCAGGTTTCCAACGATGGTCTAACATCAATCGATTCATGATCTCAATCAAAATGGTTAGTTTTATGTTTCATCATTTTCTGAAGAAAAAGAACAGAAGAACGATACAAACAAACAAACAGACAATTCAATTTCTTATTGTACAATCATAATCTGTCAAAATTCAATAATCGATCTGCCTTTTTTGTTTTTTATTCTTCGGTATGTTTCAATGATCTGCCTTTATGATTATTATTATTATGATTACTTTTATATTTACATTGAAAACAGACATGGATACAGATGGCTTCTTTATGAAATATTCCCTATGATAAATGTTTCCCTCTTTTTTTATCGTTATAATCCTAAAAATAGGAGAATGAAAATGTCAATATGTATGTAACTATGTCACCCCCCTGCGTGTATGCGTACATATGCGTGTGCATGTGTACGTGTGTGCGTGCGTGTGTATGTGTTTGTAGAGACGGAAGGGGGTGGAAAGGCGGTAAATAGACAACAACAACAACAACAACAAAAAGAATTGGTAGACAAATGTTAAATGACTAGTACAAATTAGAATTACAAAGACAATAGTAAAGGTTATTAAACCGAATATCGAATTAAAAAAAACTACAATTCACCTGCCAATTATACAATAATGAATTGAGACCTGGAAGAACAGAAGAATGGTAATTACATATATATATATATAAAGGAAAGGAAAGGAATGGAATGGAATGGAATGTGAATATGAAGTGTTCTTTTTTTATTTTATTCGTTTGATGAGTAGTAATCTAGTAACTAGTAACTAGTTTCAAACTATTATGTCATGTTTATGTATGTACATATGAATATCGATAGAGATAGTTTTGTATCTGACTAGTTGCCTATCAACCAACCAGTCAGTCGGTTAGTCAATCCGACCGACCGCCCTCCCGACCGACCGCTTATCGCTCTTACCCCCCCCTCTCTCTCTATCGTTCTTTCTTTCAGATGTAATAATTAATCGATCAGAGTTAAAGTATTTTCATCATTTCGTAAATTCTAATCGTTATAATGAATTCCTAGACAATAATAATAATAAAATTCTGATTCAGTAATATCAGTGATGAACTACCATATAATTGACTATAGATATGTATATATATGATATATACAAAATATCACCTTTCTACCCCCCCCTATCATGAACCGATCAATGTTAGACCATAATTGAAAACTTGGAACTATTGGATGGCAGTTTCGTCTTACTGTCGGACTCCTCAGCAGTGTGCATCTACGATCCCGCCTCGCGAGATTCGAAACGAGAATTTACCGATCTCACACGCGAACATTTAACATGTAGACCACTGACTGGCTTCAAGAGATATTTTTTTTTGGAGTTCCAGTATGAAGCAGTGATCAGTGGAGTTCAATCGGATCTGTTGTGAGATAGTAACTTACTGAAGTCAATAGTAGACGTGTGGATCAATTTCGTGAATTAGTTACAGTTAAACATTAACACCGTTGGATGCTAGCATGTTCAGTGATCTACAGGTTAAGCATTCGCGTACAAGAACGAATCTTGTGAGGCGGGATTATGAAGTCGCATTGCTGAAGAGTCCTATACATAGACGAAACGACCGTCCAGTAATTCCAGATTGTCCATGGTAATATAACCTCAATCGACTAGGGATCTGAACGATTCAAGTTACTATAATATCCACAAAACCCCCTTCTAATATTCAATCTGTTGTTTCATTTAGTAACAACTTGTTTACTCACCAATATATATATACATTCTCTTTTCTTTAGGTAACATTCATAGGTTTATGGAATCGTGAATCTATTGAATTTCGTCAATCATTAAATGCTATTCGTAAAGAACCAGCATCACATTTATGTAATAAAAATCAAGCTAGTCTATCTAATCTAGTTCAATCACAAACGATACAAAATCATCATCATCAGCATCAACAACAACAACAACAACAACAGCAACAACAACATCTTGGAAGACCATTAAAAATTCTACGTTCTGCTCCATCTGAATTAACGGATTCACCAAATTATAATAACTTACATAAATCATTATCTAATTTCAATTTAAAAATTAAATCAAATAATCATATCAACTATCAACCATCTTATTTATCTACTAATCATAATACTACTAATAATAAAGATTTCAGTAGTCATCTTAATAATGCACAAACTACTTATTTAAATGAAATTCATCAATTACAAAGACAACAACAACAACAACAAAGAACACACAAATCAAAGTTTCGTGAACGTAGAAAAAAGTGGAAATCATCATCAACAAACAGAGTTTTGTTGAAATCGAATTCACATAATCAATATGATACCAATTTGTATCATTATCAATCACCAATAAATCCATATTCGGATTAAACAAACCCTCCAGTTTAACATACTGGGGTGATATGTCATAAAAAATTATCTATCATTTATGAAATGATTAGACTCTTATATTACAGGGTCCTACATAAAGTTAACTTTAACTTAATCCCTATAAACAAGTTCACATATATATATATATATATATACATATTACCCCCTCCCATATCTTTTCTTTTCTTTAATTCGTTGTTGAAGACATTATGTACACATTCATGTATACCTACCCCATATAGTAATTTTTACTATATATTTATATTTAATTCATTTTTTAATAATTTATTTGCTATTTGAATTAAGGAGAGGATCAAAGGAATTAATATAGATATGCCCAAGTTGAATAAATTCATTATAAAGAATTACACTACTTAATAGTAAATATCAGTAGTTAAATTTATTGTATTAAAATAAAACAAAACTTTACTCCGATCAAATTGTTCGTCTGTTTGTTTTTTTTCTTCTGTTTCTACCTCATCATTATCCAACGTATATATACATATAATAGTTTCATTTGATTTGTTTTCCCTTCAATTAAACTTTAAACGTTTTTTTGTTGTTGTTGCACAAACCATATCATTGTAATATATAACATAAAACTAATAATAAAATGAAGAATATTTTCTAAAAAAAATAATTTTTTTTTTATTTTTCAGTTGAAGGTAACTGTATTTACATCAAGTGACAATGAAGGAAGAGATTAAAAGCATGGAAATATACCATTAAAATTGAAATATACACTTACTAGTTCAGAATTAGTTAGCCCCCAAATTCTCTGGTACATTCATTTCATTTCATTTCAACACATAGATATTGGTGCAAGGAGGCACCAAATACATATGCGCCACACAAATCTCAATTGATTTGTGTGAGGGCTGTGATACTTACTGCACGGGTGCCCAAACCGAAGCAGGTGGTTTTCTTAGTGGGCCACACCCCGAGCCTTCGACCTGAACGTCTGACCTACAAGGCAGTGGAGCATCGTGAGGAGATGCAGTCCCATGGAAGCCGGTGACCAACGATTGGTTCATACGCCATTTGTTCCCTCAGGCAGGATACTGGAGCTAACCCATGTGCATCATTGGTTTGGGATGTGGTTAAAGCGCCCGGCATTCACTTTTCGTCCTCTCGTCTTCGTAAACAACACCCTTTCCATGAGAAGACAGTGAGTAGGACTTTTCTAGCAGAGGCTATATACACGTGGTCATGTGAGAGCATTTCGAGAAGGAGAGCGGACTCTTCCCACTCTCGGCCGTACCAGGGCATTTGGGGGCAATTCTCTGGTACAGCTGAGAGTAAGGAGATTCAACTCTCTCTCTCTCCCTCTCTCTCTCTCTAAATACACTCACATGACCGTGTGCATACTACCACTGACAATGAAATCATATTCCCTAACTACTTGCGGAGCGGTTGTTGTTTACGAAATTAAGAAGACGAAAAGCGAATTTCCGGCATTTTAACCAGGTTGGTGGATATCGAGTTGAAAAACACTGATTCAAAACCATTGGTACACATAGGCTCCAGTATCCTGAACCAACAAATGGTGTATAAACCAATCGTTGGTCACCGGCTACGATGAGACTGCTTCTCCTGACGTTGTTCCACTGCCTTGTCGATAAGAATTTTAGATCAAAGGCTCCCGTAAGAAAATCACCTGTTTCGATTTGGGCATGAAGGCAGTATCATAGCCTACGCAAGAATCAAGTGAGTTGTGTGGCGCATGTGTAATCAATGTCTCTTTGTACTAATATTTATGTGTTCAAATAAATAAATAAATAATACAACTTAATAAACTCTCATAACTATACAGTAAATCCTTCAGTTACAAAATACCAATCAATCGTCTCCGACTTCATTGTTCCTTCATTTCCATGCCAATTATTCACTATTCTCATTTTGTTCTCTATAATCTTCTTAACGTTCTGACACCAGACATTTCATTTACGATTGTTACTACATACTATTGATATCTATGAATATCAGTAGTACATACAATAATGCGTTCATTCAATTTTAATTGAACATATTACATGATGCCAATAGTTTCAAATGATTTATCTAATGAAATCAATATCTAATCTATGTATAGAAAACTTTCCAAATATAAAACACTCAGTCGCTGAGTAGATAACGCGATAAAGTTTGAAGTGAATAGTACTGGGTTCGAGTCCCAGACAGAACATCAACAAGTTCGAGATATAAGTACATCCAGTTAACGAGTCCCAAATAGAACGAAACGCAAGTCAACCTGGATTCCTCTGCTAGCCACTATCCATCATTGCTTACACTACAAAAAGCTTGTGAATTAAGGCAATACACATACGATACAATAACAGACTGATCAATTCCAGTCTTAAATCTCAATGGGAAGAAAACGTTTCTTAGCGAATAAATAGTGAATTGATAGACAGAGATTAAGAATCAATTATAATAGCAAATATTATTCAATCATTGGTAAACATTCTAATCGATCGATGAATTTAATCCAAATTTACCTGGTCATTGATTTATAATTGATGTAAATAATGAAATAAAGAAGACATAATGAACCATAGAAACTACTATTTGATGCATTAGTTCACCAAATTTAAAACTTTAAAAGCGTTAGTTTATTACAATCCATTGGTTACTGGGTGGTGATCAATGTCATGCGTGTCTAGTGAGGGAAGTGGTGCTCCCTGACGAATTCGACCCCGTGTCACACAGTTTCACACACAGAGACGTTACCATTGAGCTATCCGAGCCGCCACCGACCACCTGTAGGACTGAGATGTAATCACAATTGATTGATCACTAGGTGGTGACCAATGTCATGCATGTCTAGTCCTTATTATTAGTGCAGATCGAATTCTATCGACTATGTTGTAATGTGGTCACTAGTGTAGGTGACTGGACACTGCGGATACTTTTGTGAGATTAGATGGTGGTTGGAGGTAGTTGACAAGAAATTCTGGACCCGGAGGTCGGTCGGGACCCAGATAGCTCAATGGTAACATCTCTGTGTGTGACGCTGGGTGACACGGGATCGAATTCACCTGGGAGCACCACTTCCCTCAAGATTACAGGTACACTTTGGTGACGAGTGACAAATAGCATGAAACCCGGGTCCAGAGTTTCCTGTCGACTACCTTCAACCACCATCTAATATTAGTTTATTCTATAAACCTGTTATAAGTTGTAACCTGTGTGCTTTATTAATGGATAACGTAACGATAAAGCCAATCAGGAAGCAGCGAATTATCGATCGGACCAATGACGCGTAAAACACGTACGAGCAGTCTAGAGTCCTTATTGATCCGGCTTTCCGCTTAGCCCAGTCAGTTTGAGTCCAGAACACCAATCTCAGACTTTGTGATATGAATAATCTATTCCAAACATTACTTACTTACTTACTTACACCTGTTACTCCCAGCATTCTCCAAACCACTCATTCTGTCCTGGGCCTTCTTTCCTAGTTCCATCCAGTTCTTGTTCATTTTTCGCATGTCTATCTCCATTTCCCGGTGGAATGTGTTCTTTGGTCTTCCTCTCCTCCTTCGACTTTGAGGACTCCATGTGAGGGCTTTACTTGTGACGCAGTTCAGTGCTTTCCTCAATGTGTGTCCTATCCACTTCCAGCGTTTTTTCCTGATTTCTTCCTCCAATCGTTTGTTCTGATTTGTTCTCTCTCACAGTAGGTTGTTGCTAATAGTGTCCGGTCAACGGATTCGAAGTATTTTGTGTAGACGACTTTAAACAAACATTTGTAACTTCTGGATGATTGCTTTCATAGTTCTCCATGTTTCCGCCCAATACAGTAGAACTGTATTGGGCGGAATATTGAAAATTCTGACCTTGGTGTTGGTTGCCAATTGTTTTGAGTTGCAGATGTTCTTCAGTTTCGGAGGGCTACTGAATGATGTCATACTTGCCAAGCAATTATAATTTCTTGAGGTTAATACAGTATATAACTTCACCTGGAGCCCCTCTTGGGTTACAGCCGGTCCCAAGCCCGGATAAAGGAGGAGGGTTGGGCATGGGGTTAGCGACCCTATCCCGTAGAAAACTAACTCGCTAAAAAAAACACTAACCAGAAAAAATTATTCAAACCATTTAAACTCTACCCTGGAAGTCAGAAGGTCTTCGTTTAGAAGAATTCTGACGCCTCATGATGAAAGCCGAGTATTTCAAACATAATCGATTTATATACAAACTAAATGGACCACATCGTACCATAAAATAAGAAACAACATTTGTACATGAGTTAGCCAAATGCATCTGTGAATGTGGGAGATAGTGATTTATAGACAGGTCATAATTCAGGAATGGTAAATCGTATCATAACAGTCTGTAGATCAAAACAAAGCTCATAACAAGAGGGATATGAATATTCAGATAGTTTAGTTACATAATAATTATACGATAAAACATATACATATAGTATTCGATCAGAAATAGATTCCAACAGTTACTATGCATTATACTCATTAGAATCTAACAAAACCATAAGCAGATGACTATTAGTATTCAATAATTAAATGAATAACCTGATGTTGTTTGAAGCGAACAGTATTGGGTTGGAGTCCTAGAGTAATTATCAATTCTGAAAATCTTATTGAGTAAAATTGCTCATCATTGAAAAGATAAAGTATAGTTAACAATGAAATACAAAATATACATTTTGTTATAATCTGAAACTGCTTAGATGAATGTATCTAAGTGTTTTAAGTTTCATTGTTAGTTATATCTAATCTATTTTATAGAAAAAAACGATAAAAATAGCTGTATCGGGGGTGGTGGTGGGTGAGTGATGATGGTCTTGATAGTGGTAAAGGTGGTGGTGGTTGAGGATCCATACACGTTGCATATATACCAATTGTAATGGATCAAAATTTAGTCATACTATGGTGTGGGTTACTTATATCCAAATGCCCTGGTACGGCCGAGAGTGGGGAGAGTCCGCTCTCCCTCTCGAAATGCTCTCACATGGCCATGCGTATATAGCCTCTACCAGGGAAGTACTACTCACTGCCTTCTCGTAGCACTACTGTTGTTTACGAAAATGAGAGGACGAAAAGCGAATGTCTGGCGTTTTAACCGCACCCCAAATCAATGGTGCACATGGGCTCCAGTATCC